TAAAACAGTTGGGGCCTCAGCACAGGGCACTCTCTGGACCATCCTCAGAATCAGGTCCCAGAAGGGCCCCTTGGGGGAGCAGGGACACCTGGGGAAGCCACCCACACCACCCGCTCCACCGTGGGGCCACTTGTTTTGGCTCCCAGGGAGCCCACAGCTGGTGGCTGTGTAGTGCCCTCTGAGAAAGGCTGAGAGCCGGGTTAGGCAATTGAGCTTCTTTTCAAACCAGAGCTGTTACATCAGCCTACAGGGTGTCTTTCTGGAGCCCATTCAAAGGCCTTACCTGGAAGATAGGAGCTGATAAGTCCTCAGGCTGCACCCCTACAAGCAGGGGGCTATGCTGGTCCCCTGGGAAGGCATCAAGGGGAGGCCTCTGACCAGGCAGCGTGGGATTCTCCCCTCACAGCTGCTAGGGTTTCTCACTCATCTCTGCCCCCAGCACCGCTCAGTGGCATCCAAATCAAACTTCTGCCTTGGGAACTGGGGAGACAGGGCCGCTGCTAATTAAGGTTCCCGCACCTCGCCTTCCAGTTTAATCATCTGCAACGCCCCATCTGGCCGCAGGCTCTTTTCTGCCTCCTGCGGGGATGCCAGGAGGCTGAACCCTGGAAACAACTGAGACTCTTTCTTCCCCCAGCTGCAGGCACTCCAGGCCCAACGTGCCAAGCAGGCTGCTGTGGCTGTATGGGCTTTTGATAGGATCCCTAGGCCCATGGCTGGCCCCGCCCAGTGCCGTTACCAGGGAGGAGTGGGGGGGTGGGCAGGGCCTCACCCAGGTGCCTGCTCAGCAGCCCAAGGAAAGGTTTAAGGGCCTGATGTTGTTGGCCCCAGTGTGCACCCAGAGGTCGGGCAGAGCCCTGCTGCCCAGGGCTCACACGGGGCATCTACTCTAGACCCCTTACCAGCTCCGTGCGCCAGCCCAGCGCCCCTCCACCCACCAGGCTCTGGGACAGCAGAGATGGCACCACGGGCCGCAGCACAGGTGGAAGGTGCACTTTGTTCTGCTCCTAGGACTCAGCTTCAAAAGAAGCCTTGCCCAGTGGAGCTTCTATTTATAAATGGAAAGGCAAAGCTACCAAGATGGGCCTGGGGACCTGTGAGTCAGGCTGACTAGGCCCATGCTACCTGCCTTCTAGACCCCCTAGCCCTGCACCCCCAGCCCTGTGCTAACCCCTGCCTACGCCCAGAGCCCAGAGTGTTTTCCCAGAAGCCAGGGCCGCAGGTCAGACTGCTGCTCTGGAACCCCAGAGTTTTGCTAATTTTCTCAGGAATAAGGTGAAAATTCAACCACTTTTGTGGACTGGGCGCTACCAGTTTCACTTGATTTTCCTCTTGATCCCATTCCTTTTAATTTACTTAATTCCGTGGGTTAGACACGAGTCCTTTTTCCCTGGAAAAGGTTTCAAACCACCCACACAAAGGGCACCTCAGAACAGCTGTCAATGTCCCTGTCAGAGCAGCCCGAACAGGACGTTCTGGATGCTGCTCTCTCCATAGGGCCCTCCCACCGGTGTGCCTGGAGGGAGTGGAGAGAGCGCGCTCACCTGCCCCAGGTCAGGCAGGAGTGAGGGCTGTGGCGGCACAGGCTGGCTCGGAGCACACGGAGGGCCAGGCAGAAGGTGACCTCCTTGTCTGGCTCTCGCTTTCCCAGCCCTCACCAGCGGGCGGAGTAGGCCCTGCAAAGCACAGGTGAGCGGGGCCAGCTTCCCCGGGAGGGAGGCTCTTGTTTTCAGCCTCAAACCGCAAGCCAGAGGCTGAGCAGATGCAGCGCATGTGGTGGGCGTGCTGCAGTCCTTCTGGAGTCCCTGCCTGAGCTCAGGACCCGAGGCTCTGCCAGCCCGCTCGGCACACAGCCCCCAGGTCAGTCAGAGGCAGGGCGCCTGTGCCGACGCCTCCCTAGGGCCACAGCAGGGCTGGCAGCTGTAAGGCAGAGATTCAGAGGTGCTTGTAACAGCGCAGACTTTGAGGGAGCCGTGCTCTCTGTCCCAGCAGCTCGGCCAGGCATAGCCGTCTACTTGGGAGTGGGTTAGGAGAGGTAGGAACATCATGGTGGAAGGGCATACAGTAGAACAAAGCTGCTCAGTTCATGGTGACCAGGAAGCAGTACAGGGAAGCCAATGCCAAGGAGAGCACGAGGCACCATTTACAGTACCCAAGGCCATTTCTCAAGCCAATAAAGTGGACAAAAAGGAATAATGGTCATAGCCAGGGACACTTGGGCAGTGCCTAGGGCCACGCTGGCCACGTGACCTACGTTCTGTGTATTGCAGATCCCGGCTGTAGCACAGTCCCCCATCCAGCAAGGCCCCAGGGGTAGCATGCACTTCCCACACTGCTGGGGACACAGAGCTACAAGGAGTTCAAGAGTGTGTTTCCAGTGCACAGTGGACTTCGGGCCACACTCCCAGCCACCCCCAGCAGAGCATAACACTGAACACACCGTCTGGGTTCCTAGGGACCTCACACCAGTGGTCAGCAGTCTGTGCACACAGCTGTCAGCTTCCTCGGAAAGGTCTCGGTGAGGAAGGAATGCTCGTCCATCTCAGCCACCCCCGCTTCCACGTCCTCCTTTCTCCCCCTTAAAGGCAGCCCTAGATGCATGGAATTTGGGGCAGCAGAACTCCGCATTATCCCTGACCTTGCCTGCTCCAGCTTCCTCTGAAGTCTGGGTCTTCAGCCAAACTGCTGTGATTTAAAAGATGATCTGGGAGAGGGGGGGTGAGAACACATGAGGCGGTCAGAGAAGACACTGGGGAATGCAGAAGAATAACAAACATTCCATTTCCATTGCCGGCTCCTGGCACAGCCCCGGGTGTAAGAGGAGCCACCTGGAAGCCAGCCTAGGGCATCCAGTTCAGCTGGAGGCCAGAGGAGGAGGGTTTGCAGGGGTCCCTCCACGGAGGCCACACCCTGCCGAGTGCACCCTGCTGGGGGGTGGGTGCTCTGCAGATTCCAGCCCCAAAGAGCCTCTTCCCTCAGGCTCTGCAACTCAGAGGTTTAACGGAGGAAAGCCCGCAGGCTGACAACTGTCATTCCAACGGCAAAGGGCGGCACTGAAGGTTGGGTGGAGCGGGAGGGGTGCAAGATGCCTGGGGCTGGCAGGTGGAGGGCCTAGGTGAGGAGGTGATTCCAGGCTGTTCCAAAGCGCCAAGTCCCGCTGTCGTGCCCCAGGGGCTGAGGCCAAGGTCCGAGAACGTCCTCCCACACAACCCCCGGCTCCCCACATGGACGACTGGTCCTCAGCAGTGGGGCGCTGAACTGGATGGTGGGGTCCTGGGCATCTGGCCCTGGGCACACCATGGAGCTACTGAAGGAATGAGCCCACTGACTCCTGCACCCCAGAGGAGCTGTTCCGGGGCTTCAGCGAGGAAAGAAATACAGTACACTGATTGCAGCATGGAGAAGGAGAACTCTGCCCACTGCACAGCCCACCTGGTGGCTGCTGGGACTGCAACCTGGGACCCTGGAGAGGCTGGAGACCCACAGTCCCTCCCTCCTGGGAGGTGGGGACACCTCAAGGCACTGGAGAGCTCAGTCCTTTCCTGGGTCTCTGCTAGACCTAGGTCTGAGAGCAGAGAAGCTACTCACAGACTATAGACCACACATCCATTCCCCACAGCACCCCAGCTTCGTCTCTGCACACTCAGGCCAGCCATGGGCACACATGGGTTTTGCCGAGACCTTTCTAGGTGAGCTGACAGCTATGTGGACAGACTGCTGATCCCTGGTGTGGTTTTCCAGGATGTGTCCATCCCCACCTCCAGCTCACCCTGCTCGGCTAGGAAAACTCATTCACCTTGCTGCACCTTGTCTGGAGACCCTCAGAGCCCATCCCCCACCCAAATAGCCTGTGCGTGTTTCCATAGCAACCTGCAGCATTCCGCGGGGCTCATTTCAGATCTCTTTGAGGGCCTGGCCTTGACTTGAATCCTTTACAGCAGCAGGGCAGGGAAATGGGCCAACCATGACCCTGAATCAGCCTCCCAGAATCAAACCTCTCGGTCCTGTGCAGGCCTCTGTCTTCTGCCAGTACATCTTGGGGCAGAACCAGTACCACATGACAGCAAGACTGAGGAGCAAGGGGCTCTCTTTCTCAGCTACAGTGAGAGAAGAGGTCTTGCTGGCCGCTGACAGCCACACTCCTCCTCGGACGGGCACGAGCATAGGCAGTCCAGTCTGCCGGTCCCACTGAGAAGCCAGCTGCTGGTTCTGCAGTGGGCCGGGAACGTGGGCAGGCCCCCCAGGAGTGGCTCAGACACTCTCCCGCCAGGCCGGCCCTCTGCTCTCTGCTCTTTCACCAGGTGGGGCCTGGGGAGGCTGAGGGTGAGCAGGGTGGGAGCGTTTCTGACTCTATGAGCAGCCATGCCCACTGCCCCCTTCTGGCAGCGGTCCTGGAGCAGTGGACCTGACTGAACAATCGGGCCTTCGGGGTTCTCGGCATCCGCTTTGTCACTCTGGCATCCCGAGCTGGTGCTGGGAGAGACCTAGGGTTTGACGGACACAGCTCCCGCCCAGCCTGCAGCTTCAGTGACCGTGAATGCAGCAGCGGGAAAAGCTCCTTGGTTGGCCTCTGGCCATTCTGTCCCCACAGGCATTTGAATAACTGCTGTCATTTCAGAGACATCAGGTGCCACGTTCCAATTTGTGGTAGTTCGATCATTATTTCTGAGCAGATTTCCCAGTCCACAGAGATGGCCGACACTTGCCTGCCCTGGGGAATGAAGGATGGGGCCTTGTGTCCCTCACAGCCCCGGGCCGGCAGGCTCTTCACTCTCCTGCACCAGTGCACACATCAAACATCATTGCGCTTCTGTCCCCTTCCAGCTGACTCTTGACAAAGCCAGTGCAAGGCAGCTTCGCGGAGAGCCCTTTGTCCCTGTGCGGGAGAGCTGTCCACGGTGCTGACCCCTCCTGCTGAAGATGAAGAGCGAGAGGGAAGGCCCGAGGCCGGCCCGTGCACCCTCTGTCCACACAGCATCGTGCTCAGCGACGACCCCAACAAGCCATCAATTCTGACGGAGGAGCATTTGTGCAGCCCTGCTCCAAAACCCAAGCCAGAGCCAGTAAGTCCCAGCTCATTGCTCTGGCCCCTCCCTGCTCTTCCCATGGCTTGGTCCCCTGGGCACGTTTGGCAGCAGGAGGCTGATTTGTAACCAGCACTGGAATGCAGGAGGGGAAGGGAGGGCCCTGTACAGGAAGGAAGCCAGAGGAGCAGCAGCGAGGCTCCTCTACAATCCCTCTACAGGACTCAGACAAGCATGGAAACCCCACTGCTGACAGTGTCTGCCTTCCCCAGCCAGCTCCCCACGGTGTGTCCAGCTCCCCTATGGCGGGGCTGAGATGAGAGGCTGTCCCCACCCCACACGGCTCAGTTACCAGAGACCAACTTTCACTACCTGCAGGACACCAGGTGGCACCTGCTGCCGTGTCTCCCTCCAGCCATGCCCCCTTCCTCTGCCTCAGGTAGCACTGATACTCCTGGCCATGTAATTTTCCAGACTGGGGAACCTAGCCAAGAGGTCTTGGCTTTTCTCCTCTGCAACACTGGCCTCCTCTGGACACAGTGTGAGCCAGGAAGGGCTCTCTCAGAAGCTGCCTCCTGGACCTCTGCTCTGTCCTGGGAGACAATGGAGACCAAGGCTCCTGGGCAGGGCTGGTTCTCCAAGAAGCACTCAGAGCCAGGCACAGCTGAAATCCCAGAACTCGGGAGGCTGAGGCAGGAGGATTGCTGCAAGTTCAAGGCCAACCTGAACTACATAGTGAGTTCAGGGCCAACCTGAACTGTAAAGTGAGACTCTGTCTCAAAAAACAGAAGAAAAGAAAAGTGCTCAGAACCACTCAATGGGACAGTGTTTCGGAGGAAATAGGTTTCAGGTTGAGGAGGAAACTGACTCCTGTTGTAAGATGGATTTTCCACACTTGGCCTCCCCTCTGCAAGTAGGCAGGCTGGAAGGAGACCCTGACCCAGCCAGACCCCAGCTCCAAGCCCACTGCAGGGCCCAGAGAACTGGTAGGTAGCCCGGCAAGGCAGCGCCACCTGCTGGAAATCACAGGACCCCCGGGTCACCCTGCCAGGCTGTGCATCCTGACCACCTTTTGACCTGGGGCACAGCCTCCTGGTCTCTGGAGTGGGCTTACCCGCAGCCCATCTGTAAGAACTCCTCTCCAGCTCCATGTTGGAAGGGTGTGCCTGCAGCTGGTGGGGCTTTGGAAGGAAAGATTAAGAACCAGAAGCAAGAACTCTGGCTTCATTCAGCCAGGAGGGCAGCCTGGGTTCCTGAAGGGCGGGCACTCAGGTCTTGTCAGGGAAGGAGCAGCTCAGGCCCCACGACCCTGGCCCTGCCTCTGGGGCAGGGGGGGTGAGCTCCTTAGGTGGCATTGGGCAGAGCTCGGGAAGCACTAACCCCTTGCCCGTTACCCTCCAGGTAGGGTCTGGCTGACCCTGAGAGCCTGGTAGCCCCAATGCCCAAGGCCCCTGTGTGGGTGAGGCTCCCACTGCCCAGCACCGCAGTGCCTCCCTCCCAGCCCTGCCTTCACACCTCAGACCTGGCTGGGCATCCATGCTGCCGGCCTGTCGGTCCCTCAGGGCCATCTCTCAGCAGAATGGTCTTTTTAAGGCATAAAATATGGACCAGACCATTTCTGGCTGTCCACAAGACCCTGCAGATCCCCTCCCAGAGGTAGCCACCAGATCTATTAGAAGTTATTTCCCAAGACCCCTCCCAGCCCCTGGGACATTGGCCCCCACCAGATGGCAAGTGAGTTTCCATGGTGCAGTTCTGCATTGCTGTTTCTTACTGCTCTGTTTCCTCAATGGCAAATTAATGGATGATTTGTTTAATTACAAAGCTAATGCATGATACTCGTCTCCATCTGAAATAGTTACAAGGAGAATAGAATGAGGATGACCCCTCATGTCCCTGCTACCTGCAGGGCTTGAAGAAGGAAGACACCACAGAAAGCTCCAGGACAGTGTGCCAAACCCCACTACCTGGGTGTCAGGGTGCAGAAGAATTTAGAGATTGGACCCGCTGTCCTGCGCCACCTCAGGAAGCCACAGTTCCCTCTCAGTAGGCTGACCCCAACCTAGTTCCCTGCAGCCTCAGAGTACAAACTCCCACAAAACCTCCAGGACTCATGGTCTGAATGGGCCTCCACATGCAGGGACCCAGCCAAGGGCCCAGAGCAGGGCGAGCCAGTGGCTAGACCGGCCTCACACTTGAGCACTGCCCCTTCCCCCGGGGGCTGACCAGGTCTCCTGGCCTTCACAGTCTTAGCTGCACGTTCTCTGACTCATGCCAGTGGCCCCCCAGTGCTACCTCCGTCCCTCGCTGGCTCTGCCACTGTTGCGTGGCTCATGGTCAGGCTGCTGCTGGGTCTACCCCAATCCCTGGGAAACCTGCATACCTCAAACTCAGGCACTGTCATGGGAGAGGCCTGTCGCCAGGACACCCCCGTGCCTGGAGTTGTTGGGCAAGGGGCTCTCGAGGCCCCTGGACAACCACAGGGTGAGTCTTGCCAGCACTGTGCTTCCAGGAAAGCCAGACCCTGGTCTGTTTGTCTGATAAACCTTGGGCAACAGCTGGGGGTGCAGACAGCTCTGGACATGGGGGTGGACATTGGGAATGTTCCCTGAGGACCTCCTGTCGGCCCTGGACCCCACCACGCTTACCACCCTTCTCTCTCCAGACACTGCTGGAGCTGCCACCAAGACAGCTTGTGACACATTTCAAACCATCCACCTTGCCGAGACACTCAGGGCGTCATCCTACAGTTCAGCCTGGCTTCAGCCCAGCCAGTCCCAGCCTCGAGTGCCTGTGAGTGTGGCCCTGGCTAGAAACAGGGCCCTGCATCTGAGAAAGCCAATCATCCTGGGTCAGGCTGAGCCCGATCCAAGCCCCATCTGGCCCAGGAGGGGTCTGTGCCACACACGGGCACTCCTGGAGGGGGCATGCAGGGACTGGCCCTCTACTTGTGACAGTGAACCAACAAATGCCAGCTCCTACCTGGTGGGCCAAGGCCCAAGGTGGGGTGAGAGACTTGGGTGCATCCCACCTTCACAGGACGCCCCAGGTTCCTGTGCAGACAGGGTGGGCCCGGACTGGCCAGCGCCCAAACCCAGGGGAGACAGGCGAGCTGCCACCAAGAGTCTGATGGCCTGATGGAGAAGTTCGTGCCTCGCCCCTCAGATGAAGGGGACATGAGGCAGGGCTGCTTCTTGCCCACAGGAGGCAGGGAGTGGCCCCTTTCTAGCTCCTGCCATGGGGCAGCCCACAAGTCTTGCAGGACAGAGGCTGGATGTGATGGGCAGGGCCCCTTCGTCAGCCCTGGCTGCCACCTCCCTAGTCCACCCTCCATGGATCCCAGATGCTGCCCATCGAAGTCCAAGCGCAGGACACCCAGACACCCATGTCAGGCAGGATGCCGCAAGGTGGAAAAGTGGCCGTTCAGGGGCTGTGTCTGGGTGTCCCCCCAGAGCCTCATGCAGTCATAGGTGGGGCTTTCTCAGAGGTGGCTGGGTCTAGTGCGTGACGCTGGGACTAATTCATGGTGCAATTCTAGGCTCAAGGGCACTAGGATGAAAGGTGTGAGCACTACCCACCCCAAGTCCAGGTAAAGGGGGCAGGAAGACACTGTTAGTTTCCTTTGTTGTTTTTGCTGTCTTCTGTGTGCAGTGAACAGTTTCTCCTCTGCGATGCCCTCTGCCATGTGCCACTCTGCCTTGGAGCCAGCAGCTATGGGCTGAAACCTATGCGAACTGTGAGTTAAATAAACCTTTACCTTTTAACTTCGGGTGTCAGGTATTTTAAAGTCACTAAGACAGGGTGCTAACTTGTGTGAGCAAAGACCCAGTGTAGGGAAGTGGGGGCAGCTGTTGCGACACAAGGGACACTGTTGGGTGTGAGAGCAGCTTCGGGCTCGTGCAGTCGTGAGGTCAGATTCACCGTCCTGCCTGAACAAGTGGCCAAAGAGGAAGCAACCGGCCGGGAAGGACTATGGTACCCGGAGCCATGACCCTCAGCCGAGCCCAGTTCCTGACCTGCCTGACTCACGCTCCACAGCCAGCCCGGAGAAGCAAGGAGCCTGTCACCAAGCACTGGTACCACTCACCCAGTACTATGGTCCTCAAAACAGGGACGGTGCTGGGTGAGGAAAGACACTCTCAAGAGGCAAGCAGAGCCCGAACCAGAGATTGGATTTCAGAATCAAAAATCAAAGCAGGATCTGACATGACAGGTGTTGGAACCGAAAAGAGCCGTCAGTGACATGTTAGGGCTCTCAGGAAGATGGCGGATGGCATGCAAGATGATGTGAGTGATTTCAGCAGAGACGGAAACTGCAGGAGGGAACCAGATGGAAATACTCCAAACAAAACACAGCAGTGGAGATGGAAGAGCCCAAGGGTGCGGCAGAGTCAACACAGCTGAGGGAGGAGTCCGCGAATGAGAAGACAACACTACACAAGAACCAAGAACTGGGCCGCAACACCCACACACACCCACACCACGAGCACCCAAGCCAGGAGGGAGGACAGGGAGGAAAGAAGCTCTTTAGGGAAGCAATGGCCACACTGTTTTTGAGGTTGGCGGCAAAAAGCAAACAGCAAACAACAGAGTTAGGAAAATCTGTGAACACCACACAGGATGCATGCCTCAAAGAGCTGCCTGTGGGAAGGGCTGGTGCAAAGCTCTCAAAGGTGTCGTCAGGGAACACACACACACACACACACACACACACACACACACACACGCGTGGAATCAAGGATGTGAGAACCAAGCAGACTTGCAGCAGCCATGGTCGTGAGCGGTCTGTAAACCACTGAAAAGCAAAGCAGAGCACAGCAGCCAGCAGAATCACCCAGTGAGCACAGAGAGTCCTTCTCCGATGAACAGAGGCGGGACCCATCGCCCTGCTACCCACTCCACAAGACCTGCTGCGGTTCTTCGGGACCTGGTGTCAACAGGGAGCTGGCTGAGTGGAGTCAACATGCGGTTCATCTCGTCTGCCCTAGAAGATCATTCACGTCCCAAAGCAAAAATAAAAATGGTTTCGCTTGTGTTTACAACAGGTACAGATGTAAAACCTACCATGGTGCGCAGTGGCAAGAAGGAGGTGAGGGAGGAGCTGGGGTTATTCTCAATCCAGAGACAGACAAGAAAGAGGTGGGTGAAGGAAATAAAGCAAGTGGAACAGTACAAAACTGTCAGCAAGACAGTAGGTTCTAAGCCAACCCTGTCATTCGTTGTTGTAAATACAAACCATCCAAAAACATCAGGTGAGAAGAAAAATGTTTTTAGAGGTGATTGTGAAGAGCAAGATCCAACCATACAATTTGAAAAAATAGTTTAAAATACAAAGACAAAGACAGGTTAAAAATAAAAGAATCGGAGTGTGTTCTCGACCAGCACTAACCAGAAGTCTGGGGTAGTTCTGGTAACAGTGGACAAGTGATCCGGAACCAAAGAGTAACGCATGTCCCCGTCAGCCCGCAGGGGAGAGACGGGGCCTACGAGACACACTTGCGGTCTGACACGCTCTCAGAACACCCAGACACACGCCGGGGAGACCGGGAGACGCGGCCAGCCCTCCCACAGTCGGAGACTTCAGCCTCCTCGGGCAGCAAACAATAGAGGACCTGAGTGACATCGGCCCCCTGTGCCCACAGACACCGACCGAGCGGCGCAGACTGGAGCCCACTCTGCCCAAATGCACACAGCTTTTCCACGAGACAGACTGCCTTCTGGCTCACAAAACACAGCCTGGCGATTTAAAGGAAGAACTCATACAAGGCATAGTCTCAGAACATAAGGAAATTAAATTAGATTGAATAGCCGTGCCACGATTACCCATGAGAGGAAACCTCAAAGAAAATTGTAAGTATTTTGAGCTGAAGAGAATAACATATCGAAACTCATGGGGAGCAGGCAACACCGTGCTAAGAGGAAAATGTATGGCAACAAATGACTATATTAGAAAGAAAAAAGATTCCAAATAAACGTCCTTAGTGTCCACCTAAAGAACTGAAAATGCAGAGAAAATTAAAACTTAAAAAATAGAAGAATGGGCAACGGTAAAGGCTAGACCAGAAATCAATGGAATGGGCCAGGCATAGTGGCACCTGCCTGTAATCCCTGCACTCAGGAGGCTGAGGCAGGAGGATTGCCTCAAGTTCAAGGCTAGCCTGGCTACATAGTGAATTCAAAGCTAGCCTGAACTATATAGTGAGACCTTGCCTCAAAAAACCAAAAACAAATTAGTGGAATTGATAACAGAAAAACAGCAGTCAATTAAACTGAAATCTGGTTCTCTATGAAACTAATAAACCTTTGGACAGATTGACCAATTCAATCTGTGTGTAGACACACAGATTACAAAGATCAGAAATAGGAAAACAGATCTCTGCACTGACATCAGTTCTTTTACTTATTTACTTTTTTTTTTTTTTTTTTCC